ACTGGCACACTAACATGGAGTTGTGAGAAATGGCAAAGGTCTAAACAATTGAGACTATGATTCTGACGTCCCTTTTCATAGTTCTAAAAATTGTTTAGACGCACATGTGAGCTATCTAAGGAAAGGTGTATGATATTGATAAAGTCTTATCAAAGCATCTCGTATCAGAAATCTGAACTTTGGTAAGAAAATCAATAAAGTATTGATTTCTAGAAGTCCAACTGATTTCTGAGTACATGTCAAAGCTAGTGGGAGCATAATTGTTATGCTAGTGATTAGTCGAATTATGAAAACATGGCAAATAAAAAATATTGTAGCAAAAGACTGGTCTAGGATCATGTCTTTATGCGAGACATCATGAATCGTGTCCCATATGCTTCGGGATAGGATCGATTACGTGTGCTATAATATTTACCCTTTCTAAATTTTCCAAATGCCTAGGGCATTAAGAGGGGAAAAAGTCTAGAATTAGATATGACTAAAATGATTAAGCAATTGTCGAGGACAATCTGAGGTTTACTAAAGATTGGTTTCTCATGGATAGTTGGAAGTATGGTGTAAATTTTTGGAAATGACCATATTGACATATTCTGAAAGGAGACAACTCTTGTTCAGAAGTGATAGTCAAAATAGGAATGTGGAAATGTTTTCATAAGAGGAAGTTATTCTTCAAATCTAAGTAAAATTAGAAAACTTAATGCAAGAAGGATGTTCAAAGGAATGTACTTTGAATTTGAGACTTTGTTTCCATGGAATTGATCTCCATTGGAATACTCTGTAATGTCTGTTGACAAGTCTTTGTGACTTTGTGCATAGTCATTACAAGAGGATCAATGCATATATGTTTAAAATCTAATAGATTTCAGTAAATGGCAAATAATCTTGTATTCTTACATTTGCGGTAAGGATTTGGGATTGTGAAATGAGCATCAATGGAATCATGTTCAATTGGTCTACTTCACAAAGTAAGGATCATAGACAAACAAAGTGTGCATACTTGGAGTATGGCATAACTATTGTTTGGACAAACATAGTGTACATGCTTGGAGCATGGCATGACTATTGCTTCAGTTCAAGTATTAAGTTGATTATTTGAAACATTATACAATTAATAATGAGTAATCAATATGGTGTTTAAATAAAAAGGTGTTTTATTTACTCTCAAAGGTGCTTGGGGCCATATAGGATTAGTATTATTCTTGTGTTTCACTTTGCATGTTTTGACTTCCCGAATAACTAGGTTATTCAAACTCTCCACAGTCAATCATACTTTGGAAGTAGGTATGAATCAAGACTGTCATGAATTGGGCTTGTAGATGTCTAAAGTGTTTAGACATAGCAAAAGTTGCTGCAACATTCATGAGTGCTCCTGGAATGAGATTCGAGTATTGGATTAAACCCACGCTCATTTGAATCACTTCATGGATTTTATAACGAGTGATCATGAGACGATAATATCTTATATTCTTCAAACCTAGAGATATGATTTGTTGACTATGAGTTGGTTATACATTGATTGTACGAAAACGCATCAGTAACTTAATGTTATAAAACGTGCCTTTGTGCATGATTCAACAAGTAGTTGGTACAAGCATATGAGTCGAAGTTTATCCATTCCTTTTACCCTTGGAGGGATAAACACGATATCTGTGGGCCCCTCAATGATTTAGTGATGACAAACGTAAGTGCTCGGCCGGGCCTGGACTGATTTGAATTTGTTCAATTAGTCGGTCGTTATAGATCGGAAATCGGGAAACAACAAATGGACAGAGAGAATAATTATAATCCATGTCTCAGTCCGTATGATATCTAGAATGGGGGAATATATGATCCCTTATCTAATGGACGAGTCATTGACTAGGTCAGAGTTCGACAGCGGCTTTTAAGAGCTACGATTGCTAGTCGGGTTTTGGAGTCTTACTTGCATTAATAGTTTTAGACTTATCCAAGTGGGAGACTGTTGGATTAGATGTCTAAGCCCATAACTATTATTGGTATGTAACTTGACCCGAGAGTAGCATGGTCCATTTGGGTTGCATATCATCAGGACAATTTGTTAGGATAGACTCTTGAGAGAAGGTTATATATGATTTATTAATATATTATAATTTCTAATATATTAATATGAAATCATATGTTTTAATTAGTATTGGTCAAGAATTAATTTGGAATTAATTTATTGATCAAAATAGACTAATTAAATCTGTGGGGACTAATTATGGTAATTAGTTATATTTATATGTGTTGGGCTTATGATCCATGTTAGACAAAGTTTATGTATGGACACATAAAGAGTTGGGCCACATGAACCATGGATCATAATACCTATGGGTATGGGTTTGGGTTAACCCATGACCTTTGGAATTCCACATATAAATATGTTACTTCATAGCCAAAATCACCACTAATGTATTCTTGGAGGATATGGACGGTTTTGGTGTGTATGAATTCTCTCTCAAGTTTCATCCTTTGTCCACGATGTGTTGTGACTTCATTTGAGGCTTCCACACTATTGGGCTAAGCTCTTAAGGCCAAATACATCAAGACTTCAAGCTACATAAAAGGTATGTTACCCTAACTAGTATCCTATATGGTTTATGTCAAATGCATGCTAGTTATAGGTTTAATGCCTTGGAAACCATTTACATGTATAATTAGTGAAAACATAGATCCAAGGTATTTAGGGTTGTATGTGCACCATAGGATGTTGTAGCATAGAAAACCCATTAGGATAGACCCCAGTACCGGTCGATAGGGCCGAAAGGGTATGCAAGCACCCAGATAAGCTAGGCAGTATATGACTTATATGTTTATGTACTAGGATGCTATGTGGTAGAAGTAGGGGTGAAATAGTCCTCGATACCGGTTGAAAGGACCGAAAGGGTGTGCCAGCACCCGGATATGCTAGGCGAGGTTTCGGTCGACAAGATCGAAGGGGTAGACCAGCACGCTGATATGCTAGGCTAGGTACCGGTCGACAGGACCGAAGGGGTAGGCCAGCACCCTGATATACTAGGCCAGTTACCAGTTGAAAGAGACCGAAGGGGTAGCTAGTACCCGGATATGTTAGACAGTATGTGCTATGTATGGTATGTGGTATGATGGGGGGAACTCACTAAGCTTCGTGCTTACGGTTTTCGTTTTGGTTTCAGGTACTTCGTTTTCAAAGGAAAGGAGTCGGCTCGATCCCAGCGCATCACACTATGTTTTCCGCACATGAGATCTTTGGGATACACTCTGATATTGTTTTATGATAACATGTTTTGATTATTGACACTTTGGTTTTGACATGGGATGTTTTTAATGGATGTCTTTATATTGTTGGTTTTATGAACTATTAAACTAAAAATGAAAATTTTGGTCTTGAATTTTGGGATGTTACACCGGTCTTGCTTCATTCTTCCCACCATTCTTGATATCCTACAAGCTCGAAGCAACTTGTAGCCCCCTGTCTGTTATTCTTGCAATGACTACAATATAAATATATTTTTCAGATCGCTCTCGGTTTCGTCCCCTTCCTGTGTTGACGCGAACTAAAAATCCAAGTATATTGGTAGGTTATTCTTCGATAACACCCTTGGATAGACGTACTCATTCATACTGAACAACCAACTGAAACGATTATCAAGTGAAGGTAAAGGATCTTGGGATAAAATACTAGTTTGAATTGTACCAAAGAGTTTAGGGTTTAGTCTCATGAGGAACTAATGCAACATGTCATTGTCTATTCTCGTCTCATGTTTGTTTGTTTCCAGCCGTATAGTTAATACAACAAGAACAAGTGATTACTGGTTTGTGATTATGCAACTCCTCCCACAAACTAGAGAGTTTGCCTAAGTATTCTACAACAGTCATGTTCTTGCTTTGTTCACATTTAGCAATTGAAGACTGCAACTGTTCTTAACCCATTTACCACTGATAACGAGACTTTAATGTGCCCAACAATCGTTTTGGATCTTTGTATTTATACATATAGCATTTTTCTTCATGTGTCCATCATCCATTACACCAACATTTACATTGATGGTGTCCCAATTTGATTGAGTGCATTGAAGCACCGACTTTGGAATTGTCCTGTCCAGAAAACTGAACTTTTGGCATGCTTCTAGTGCGGTTTGAATATCTGCAACTCAGTTGACATACTTGTCCCCACGAAGTTTGGTTGGAATGATAAAATCGCATGGCCGATCTTGAGGACTAAGGTAGAACGACAAATTTGGCTCAATCTTCTAAGCCGTTGAAGAGGCTTCGCCGTCGGAGATATTTTTGGGTTTCTTAAACCTATGATACCATAAAATATTTGGTTCAAACCTTGCTTTTCATTCAAGAATCTTTCATCATAAATACATCTCCAAAAGGCTAACAAAAAGGAATTAGAACTTATCTAAACACATTGAACTATAAAGAGATAAAGATAAATATTTGACAAAAATATCTATATATGTCTTGACAAAAATTATCTATATATGTCTTGACAACTCCGCACCACCAAACATACTTGTATTATATCGTAATTTGAGTATACTTTAGCATTCATATAAATTTTAGTTACACCTAAAGGTATAGAGAACACTAAAATAGTTAACAAAATGGCCTATCACTTTGAATTTTTGGATTTCATTAATTGACTTCGCAAAGTTGAATCTTACTTTTGGAAAGAAAAGTGGTATATACAATTAATGGCGTAGCGATGATTAAAGGTAGCAAGTGAGTGTTTTGAAGTCTAAGCTTAATGGGATAATTGTGGGTCACACTATAGCACTACAAAAAAAGTCAACCCCCAGAAGTCAAGATGGCGCAGTATCAGAAACATAGTACCCGTCTGTTCATTTAACGTGGTTCAATCTGGCTCATTCGGGTTACCATCACTCATTCTTAATGCATTAAAAAGTAGTATTTTTGACGGGTTTGTCAATTGTGGATCCACAAAAATGATGCAACTTGTAACATGGGCGGTATTATAAGTAGCAAACTAGGGACACACTTCCTCACTTAGAAAAGCCCATAACTTCCTCAGCTTTTGTAAACAAGATAATGAATAGGGAGAATTGCAAACAAGAACCATGTGTGGATGACTATGTTGATTCGAAAGGCAGACCTTGTAAGCCCGGCAAACATGGTGGTATGCGTGCTGCTCTTGCCATCCTCGGTAATTCTCCTCCAGAACTGTAGCCATGCATATGAATCTTGGTTGAACTTTAAGTTATTGATAGCGTGCATATTGTGACTAATATGTAGATCTAGTAGTATGTGGTGTGAATCTTTGCAGGCTAATAGATGTATTGGATGTTTTTGATCAGGACTTCAGTCATTCGAAATGATGGCTATTGCTGCGGTTGGAAACAATCTTATCACTTATGTGTTCAATGAGATGCATTTCCCTTTATCTAAGTCTGCCAACGTTGTCACAAACTTCGTTGGCACCGTCTTTCTACTTTCTCTCCTTGGTGGCTTTGTCGCTGACTCCTACCTCGGTAGCTTCCGTACCATGTTACTTTTCGGCTTCATTGAGCTATGTGTAAGTCTATATGTTTGTATATAATGATTAAATCTTCATGTTTGCTTCAAATAATAATAAATTTGCAACACAAAGATTTTGATTTTACTTTATATGTGTAGGGATTTATATTGCTATCTATACAAGCTCATCTGCCTCAACTTAGACCACCAAAATGTGACATGATGTCGAGTGTGAGCAAATGTGAGGAAGCACAAGGTCTCAAGGAGTTCATATTCTTTGCAGCCGTCTATTTGGTCGCTTTAGGAAGTGGTTGTCTAAAACCAAATATAATTTCTCTTGGAGCTGACCAGTTCCGGAAAAAGGACTCTAGGAAGCTATCGACTTATTTCAACTGTGCCTATTTTGCATTTTGCATCGGTGAGCTCATAGCACTAACGGTTCTAGTTTGGGTGCAAACAAATTCTGGGATGGATATAGGGTTTGGTGTTTCAGCTGCTGCCATGGCTGTCGGATTGATATGCTTACTTTCGGGAACTTCCCTTTATAGGAACAAGCCTACTTGTGGAAGTATATTCACTCCGATTGCTCAAGTAATCAACACATAACATCTTATGTTCAACTCTTTTCTTCTTCTCAGCTTCATACATGCAGTTGTGGTTACTTTTTCTCCCCTCTATATATTTCAGGTTTTTGTAGCTGCAATTACGAAGAGGAAACAAGTTTGCCCTTCAAGTTTTAGGATGCTCCATGGAAGCCAAAGTACAGTCATCCTACACCATAATGTCTCAACCGAGTCACATGGTGGTAGCAGCCTCCTCCATACCGATAAGTTCAGGTCTTGTTTACAAAACTTAAGGATCAATATGTGCATTGAGATAACGTGTTCATTGTCATTAAAGGGTACTCATGAGTTTTATCTTTCTTTTGCATCCCCAATTCCTTACAGGTTCTTGGACAAAGCATGTATTAAGATTCAAGACGATACTCGAAGCAATGAAAGTCCATGGAGGTTGTGCACTATGTCCCAAGTTGAGCAAGTGAAGATACTCATATCAGTAGTTCCCATTTTTGCCTGCACCATCATCTTCAACACCATTTTAGCACAACTCCAAACGTTCTCTGTTCAACAAGGTAGTATTATGAATACCAAACTCACCACAAACTTTGAAATTCCTCCAGCATCCCTCCAATCCATCCCATACGTCATGCTAGTATTCCTAGTCCCTCTCTATGAGACGGCCTTTGTCCGCATTGCACGCAAAATCACAGGGCATGACTCAGGAATCTCTCCACTACAAAGGGTCGGTGTCGGGCTCTTCATTGCAACATTCTCCATGGTTTCAGCTGCAGTAGTTGAGAACAAGCGAAGAACAATGGCTTTGAGAGATCCGAGAGAAACCCTCTCAATCTTTTGGATCGCACCACAGTTTCTTGTTTTTGGGGTCTCAGAGATGTTCACTGCAGTTGGGCTAATCGAATTCTTTTATAAGCAATCATTAGAAGGCATGCAATCTTTCTTGACAGCAATGACGTATTGCTCATACTCATTTGGATTCTACTTAAGTTCTATCTTGGTATCCCTTGTGAACAAGGTCACTTCTAGGTCCGGCCATGGTGGATGGCTCAGCGACAACAACCTCAACAACGACAGATTAGACCTTTTCTACTGGTTATTAGCTGGTCTAAGCTTCGTAAACTTCTTTAACTACCTTTTCTGGTCAAGGTGGTATTGCTGCAACCCATCATTGGTGGGTCATCATGAGGGCCCTGGCTGCCCCAAGGTTTCAACATCCAATAGAAACGACATCGAAACAAGCTAACAACATCACTTCCAGTAAGCTTATGCAATACATATAGTAATAGTGAGAGAAAAAGACCTAGAAATGATTATCCTGATAACCTTTAGAACATCAAGTGCAGCATTTTACGGGTTTGACTTTGTTAGTGCCGGAGTCCTTTGTGTGTTTAACTTTGATGCCTAAGGGTCCACCATAAAAGATTTAGCTCACCAACTGATTTGAAGAGTCTAAAAAGATGTTAGGTATAAACCCATCACCTCTATGCTTCAGTGTGCTATTAATTGTCTCCTAGCCTGCTTTCATTCCCTTTGTACATGTTATAATATGTCATGAGTTTCGCTTTTGTTAGTTTTGGGTGGAATACTCTCTCTCTCTCTCTCTCTCTCTCTCTCTCTCTCTCTCTCTCTCTCTCTCTCTCTCTCTCTCTCTCTCTCTCTCTCTCTCTATATATATATATATATATATATATATATATATATATATATATATAGATCTATTGTGTGGACCAATCATTTCAAAAGCGTAATAGGTTGATCTAATATAGGTTCAAGTGTTCAATCTATCTATTGTGTAGATCTAGTATTGATTGTGAACCAATCATTTCAAAAGGGTAATAGTTGAAATTTACATATTAATTAATATTTTTAAATTATTTAATTTGATTATTATCTAAAAACAAATCCCTTTGGTTTAGACAATTATTTATAAATTTATTATTAATAATAATCTATGTATAACAACATTATATACGTTTTTTCCCACCATAATTTTTCTTCTTCAATCATTCACCTCTTAATATTATTCATCGGTTGCTTTCTTCTTCATCGATTTCATCGATGGAGTTTTTTTTGTTTTCTTTCTTCTTTTCAGGTGTTGATCTCATAGAATCTTTCATTTCTTTTTAACGTGTTGCTCTTGCAGAATATTCCCACATAAATTTTTTACAAGTAAAAAATCCATAAATTTTCATTAAAAAAACACACTAAAAGCATAGAAATCCCCAAAGCAAATGAATTATAGCTTGGACACTCCTTTCATAATATTCGAATAGAATCAAACAAAAACTACTATTAAAACCCATTACAATTACATGCATTCTAACAAAACTAGGGGTTAGTTCAATTTCAACAAACTCTAACAAAAACGTAAAATTGATCACTGATTCGATTAGAATCGTTCACTTTCAACGATATCTAACATACATCTGTTGGCAAAATCAATACATTTTTCCTTCACATTATTCTATCAGGATTTTTTAAAGTAATCATACAAAACACACTTACAAACCCATAACAGTGACATGCATTCTCATAGAATTTTCGATTCATTTGTTTTTAGAAACCCTAACAAAACCCTAAAATTGATCACAAACTCAAGTAGACTAGTTCGATTTCATCCGTTTTCAACAATACATTTCTTATCAAAAAACATAAAATTTGTACTCCCGAATTTTCTATCGGAACCAAAACCGTACCTTGTGGTGGAGAAATGAAATCATCATCGTCTTCATCAAGATTCAACACTGTTGTGGCGGTGTTCTTGAATTTTGACTTGAAAGAACTAGCTCTTGTATTCCTCAGTATTCCAAGGTCGATGTTCTCCGAAATCAACGAACAATACTTCTTCAAGAATGATCTTAACAATAATCGATCATTATATAAATTAGATCAATTGAATCATCCGATTTTGAGGTTGATTCTACATTATCTTCATTCTTTTTCTCTTCCGTTAGAAATGTTTAGTGATACGGTTTATGCGAGATTTTGGGGATGATCAAATCCGTTATTAAAATACACCAATTTTTCCTAATAAAATGGGCATGCTAAATGTATAAAATTACCCTTATAAAACCGTTGACAAGCATTTTGCTGATATTAATGTATTTTTTTAAATTTCTTAACATACTTCTTCATTTAATTAATTACGAATGATTGGTCTACAATCAATCCAACATCCACACAATAACCTAAGCATATATATATATATATATATATATATATATATATAGATATATATATATATATATATATATATATATCACTCTTGTAAAAACCCGACTAGGTCCTGATTAATCTCCGATTAATCCCTAGGCGCCACTCGCCGAATTAGAGGGTGCTTAGCGATTAATCCCTACATACGTACTGAGTAAAACAATATAAAACGATGAAACTTTAACATTTTGAAGAAGTTTTATCTCAATGGAAACTATTTGACGCATGATTAATGTTGTATTAATCATATTAACCTACTTTGTTATGATATTAATGGTATTTACAAAATTTGATATGATATTAGTCATATTTAATTTTTAAAAATTCAACAAATTAGCAATTAATAGTCCACGATTAATCTTCGACTAGCCGATGAATTCCTTAACCCCAGTCCACCGACTAGCTAACGTCGAACATTATTACAACATTGATATATATATATATATATATATATATATATATATATATATATATATATATATATATATATATATATATATATATAAAGCATACATAATGTGAAGCCCACATGAATTTTAAGACAATGATCTTAAAAATAAGGACATGATCTCTTGGCCTTTAGATGAAAGTTGAATGGTAGAGATTGATATATTGGTGATCCATGTGAACATAAAATAACCAATCAGAATTGAGGGATAATATGTACAAATATTAAAGAGTTTTGTGCATTTACTTACAACTCTATGATAACCAACAAAGAAACACACACTTTCATCTTATAAATATAACTTAAAACCTGAGTTACCTTTCATTTTGAATACACTTTCTCACTAAACACCACTTTTTCTAAGAAACCCTAGCTACAACGACCAACAATAGATTACGCCACCAGCCATCGGAACAACCTTCAAACATACCATTCCCCATCTGCTGCTTCAACCACCTCATAAGAACCATCATCATCGTTGTTATCTGACCTTCACCACCACAAAATCCAACCTATTTCATGCCTTACCCTCTACCTCTTTGATTCTGCCTAGAGAGTACTTAGTACAAGTGCTACATAAAGATATGTTATTAAATCTCACATTGATAAACCTCATTCATTTTATTATAATACATAAACATATTGAAATGTACAATCATCAAGTAAATAGGATTGACTTTTTGTTAAATATAGAAAAAAAACGTCCTTTCTTTCCCAGTATTCCCCCAAAAGACTCATTTATTGATCCAAGGGGTTCCATTCCATTTTTCATATATATATATATATATATATATATATATATATATATATATATATATATATATATATATATAGTTGTGTTTTCTATGCATTTATACACATGATCAAGGCAGCGAAAACAAAAACATAACTTATGTGTACATGGACCCTAAAATATATGGTTTTAATAACTATATCAACCTACTTTAGAAATTGAACCAAAAGATGGAATACTAACCACTTGGTGCTTTGATTGTGATCTCGTAACAAACAGCTCTTGCAATGGATGAAGGACCCATAGTAGAATCTCTATAATGTAGTGAGACCCAAAACTATAAGAAACTAATAAGGATTAACCCTAGTTTAGGACTTTATGAAAATTTTATATGAGATGGGTTATAATTTTCACATTAGGAGAGACAGACAAAGAGAGAGAGAGAGAGAGAGAGAGAGAGAGAGAGAGAGAGAGGTAGACAGTTTGAGAGAATGAAATAAGAAGTTAGGATTTGATCCCTAGCAAACTATATATAGTCAGCATCTAAACCCTAAAGGGATTAGAACTCTTAGGAGTTATCCTTACCTTATTCAAAACGTTCATTATCCATATCCAGGGAAGCCAAAACCGTACCCTATACTCTTCCAAGAGCTTTTGGAATATTCAAATTAATCTCTAGGAATTAATTAATATTCAGGCTCTTTAACTAATTAAAACTGTTTATTTAATTCTAAAATAATCTCCAATTAATTTATTAATTACTTAATAAATTTACAACTTATTTTTCTCCATTTCCTTATAACTAATTGTGTTATAAGGTTATCCCAAAAGGACTCGCTATTATTACAAAATATTATCAAACAGTTAATTAACTTGAACAACTTTTAACACACACACACATATATATATATATATATATATATATATATATATATATATATATATATATATATTAACTTGAACAACTTTTAACACACATATATAGATATATATATATATATATATATATATATATATATATATATATATATATATATAATATGGCAAAAGGTTTAGAACGCAAGAAATATTCTAAACCAATTAATATATAAGATTATACTAGTAGCTATATATTTTAAATAAGTTATAACCATTAAAATTAAAAATAATTTCCAAAAATGTAGTATCCTAATTTACCATTACAAAAAAATTGTAATTAATTTTTTTATTAATAAAATATTAAAATAATTTTTTTTTACATTCGGTTTTTTTAAATGAATAGAATATTAATAAAATACCATTTCACGAATTTTTTTTCTCAAAAAAGGTTTTTTTTCTCATTTTTATCAATCAAATATGAAAAAGTTGAAAATTTTATTATTTTTATCTATTTCTAAATGAATTTATCAGTTTGACTCATAAATGTATAAAGTTATAATACAAAATGGACATGTCAGTTTTATTTATTAATATAGTTGTATTCATAAATAAATACAACACAACGTAAAGATAAAGAAAATGAACCACAATTATAATAATAAATGAATAAAACACATTTATAATTATATATGGATATTGTTGTAATCATAAGTGAATAAGTTACTATGCAAGTTGTAACGTGTCACACCCCCGGTCGAGGCGGCGGAACATGTCGAGATGTGTGACTAAGTTCATGGATTATAGGTAAACTGAATAAGAGAGAGTTTTTAGTGGATGTAGTAAGAGAGAGTAACGATAGTTGACACTTATCACTCGCTTTGATTGATCGGTCGAAGTTGTAGCTAGCAACCATAGGTGGGGATGTCAACCCCGTATCGAACTATACATATGTGTCTCGCTCCGAAGATTAACGGTTATAGTAGTGTGGGTATGCTAAGTGTTTAGAATAAGATAATGAATATAGTCTCACTAAAAAGCCCTTAACTAAGGTAGGTGAAAAGCTCTCAACCCTAAGTGGATAAGTTATTAGGCATAATGAATTTGTAAGGAGTTTATAAAAGCCAAGCATAATTGGTATGCATGTATAGTATAAGGCACTGGCTTTTATTACTAAGTGTGTTGCTTGTATAAGCTTTGTAGTAACAAGGCATATGTTATTATTCCAACAATATAACACATGGACATATTAATGTTGGAACTAGTTAATGTATTTACGACATATAAATGTCAAACCATTGTTTTATAAATTAGTCTAGTA